AATGTAATTTTTAATTCAACAAAAGTTACAAATTTAAGAACATAATAATTGATAATTTGCGCACCAAATTATAAAATGATTTATTGTGTTACAGAATTATTAGCCAGTTGTACTACAAACAAACAAATTCGATAATTAAGATAGAAACAAATAGACTATTTAAAATATTTATAATATTATAAAAACATAACACTTTGACTGTCTAAATATAATTTAATAACATACAGTCGTCATACAACTGCTTGTGTTTGTTGTTAAAATGTTATAACTAACAATATTTCAAATATAACTTTGTATAATTAACCAAAAATAATTAAATCAAATAAAAAGCATTATTATACCAACAAATAGAACATTAAGTTTTGAAAAACTTAAAATATATAAAAACACTTTATGTAATTTTTAAACCATAACATTTCGATTGTTAAATTATTTTGAATGTTATTTTTTCAATTTATAAAACAAAAACATTATAATTTGTCTGGTTAACTCTATATACATGTAAAATAAACTCCAAATATATAAGATAAATGTCAACAGAAAATTCCCCATTACCACATTCTCTGAAAAAATGTGGATTACCAGCTGAAATAGATTTTACTCTAAATGGTGTTAGAACAACTTTCCATATTGAAAACTCGACAGTTATACCGAAGTATTGTTATGCTTATAGAATATTATTTGACAAAGTTAGAATCCCTCCGATAATCACTTCCATTGAAGAAGGCGCATTTAAAGACACAAATGTTCATTACATTGACATTCCAATAACAGTCACTTCAATTGGGTCTTCAGTCTTTGCCAATTGTGAATTACAAGAACTCAAAATCCCGAAGTCCATTCTTGAAATATCAGAAGGACTTGCTTGCAACTGTAAACTTCAAAGAGTGACATTCCATTCACATCTTACTTCGATTCAAAGTAATGCATTTAGTTGTTGCAAACTTGTGAATGTCACCATTCCAAATTCTGTTATTTACATAGGAGCCAACGCATTTTCTTCTAACAGCAATTTGAACGAATTTTACTTCCCAAAAAATATGAAGGAAATTTCAGAAGGTGTTTTAAAGTCATGCTTCAAACTGACCAAAGTCCAACTTCCAGTGGAAGTTACTTGTATACGTAAAACGGCCTTTATGGACTGTGAAAAATTGATAAATATAAAAATACCAAAAACAGTTGAATTAGTTGAGGAAAAGGCCTTTTGGGGGTGTAAAAACGTCAAAGAATTAATTTTCAACGAAACGTGTATTTTAAAAAACGAAGCAATAGCATTGTGCACATCATTGACAAATTTAATTGTTCCAAATGTTAATAAAAAAAATTATAAATGCCGTCGGGTATGA